TGCGCTGATTCACCGTTTAAAGATAGGGAATGAACTCGTAGAGCGTCGGTGGCACAGTGGTTAGGACTCTCGCCGACCATGCACATGCTCCGAGGTTCGATCCCCTGCCGGCGCACATCTGACATCCATGATTGGCCTGCGAAATTTGGGCTACCGACATCCATGCTGAAAATTCCATACTTGTACCAAAAGTACAGTGTGAAATCAAGCTGTAATCAAAAATAAATAAACAACCAATTCAAGTTGTACCAGCCATAATCAACTGATTACTAAAGAAATCTCACCTCAGATACTAGAGGCTTGTGCAGCATTTGCCAGCCTACGTCATCTCTGGAAAAGACATGACATTCTGCTATTGATCAAAAGACGTGTGTACTGTTCAACAGTCCTCCGTTATGGCTACAAGACACGGCCATCGAAATTTGAAGACATGTGAATTCTGGCCATATTTTATCGAAGGCGGCCGAATTCTGTCTCCCGGGCTCTGTGGTATAAAATACTGAGTAATATTGAGGTTAGGCATACAGTGTTAGGCAAGGAGGGTATCTCAATCGATAAGGTTTTGAATCTACATCGACTGAGATGACTAGGGCACTTTTGGGGTATTCAGAGCTATCTCCTTCCCCTTTGAGCAATCTAAGATGGCTCAGGTTAGAAAAAGTCTAGGCGTCAGACAAAGATGTAGCATTAGTCCATGAAGTCTTTGAGCCAGGGATGTGTGAGCCACCTGATTAAAGTCCTCAAGAATCTAAACTCTAATGGCTTCAGACGGCTAGTGACATGACTCAAACCGTAATAAATAGTTCATAGGCACTCGCTTTAGGGGATTAATCCAGTTCTCTCAGTCTGCATGTACTTTTAAGGTGCTGGTCAAACTACTGACTTACTACATTGTACCAGCCTAACTAAACGTTGTATGCCTAAGTACCTAAACAAAAGACACACCTTACGAATCAAAGAAGCCTAGTTATTATGTAACATACTTTCTGTACATTGTATCTGAATGGGGCGAATTGTTACGTCTCTATAGGGGAAAGATATTAGAACTTTTCTTATTGGTACGGAGGAGCTACGAACTTAGAATCTGTGCACCTCAGTAGAACGGGGAAAGAGCGATAAACGGAGTCCGAGGCTGGCCACATACGCACTCATTCAACAAGACTTAAAACTACAAGAGATGAAGGAGATGACGTTTGAGCGGACTGCAATACATACCAAAAAAGCTTCATATCCTTCAAATCCTAAAATTGTTCTGTGTAGACAGACGGCAAATCAGAACGCCAAATTGTTCGTCCAGAGTACGGAATACATCTCGCGGTCGAGGATAACCGTCGGACTAGCAAGTGATCGTGCACAAACTAACGTAATATGACATGGTAACAAAATGGTGTAGATGACTGACAGTGAACCTTCTTGACAACTAACAGACTAGGACAATAAGGGTTAGTATCCAGTTTTGAGTGATAACTGCTGTAGGCTTATAATTTTGGAGAGTCACATGCCGCTACTCACCACAAGCAGCAGCAGGTGGGCCGGGCACGCATTTACTATGTATCAAGTTGGCTGAGCTGGACCTATTATTCTTAGCCCTAGTTTTATTTTAGTCACATTGAAGGTGCACTGAACACTTATTATCTCTCTAGTTCATTCCCTTCCATTGTAGTTTCTTAGAGTTCTTTCCATAACTTTTGTGTGTTATATGTCGTGTCGCAGTTTGAACTGCTATACTTTTATGGAACGTTCTACATTGAAAACTCAGTCAGTAACTTTTCCTCACTTGAGAATAACGGTGGTTATAAGAGGCTGAGGATGTTGCCATTAACAAATAGTACGAAATATACTAACGCAAGATCCGATACCAACAACTTCTATGGTAGGCCAAAGGCAAAGCAAAACACCAGAATTCATCATCCAAATTACGAATTATATTTCGGGACCAAAACGTTGTTTGAGTCTGACTGCTTAACTAGCTAGGAATCGTGCACGAACGAACGAATAAACATAACACGACTGGACGCCAAATGACGTGGATGCTTGACTGCAAGCCCTCCTCTGAACAAGTCAACTTAAACAGTAAAGGTCAGCATCCGATGTTCAGTGATGAATGTTGTGGCTAATTATTTTGGTGAATTATCAACTGCTACAGAAGCATTATTTCAAAAGTAGATGAAATGGATGTGGATGTCAAAATCATAATCTGAAAGCAAGACAAACCTTCATCACTTTCTACTCAGTTTTGAAATGTGCTGACTCAGCATAAACAACAAAACTGAGGTTTTCAACACAAATGTTACGTAAGTCTTTCTATATGGGTCAGAAACTTGCAGTGCGTGTCATGAAAAGCATTTCCAATAGTCCACAGTAGACCTTTATCAACAGTTGCCTTCGCTGACTCCACGCTGAAAATCAGATGGCTGGCTAGAAAGAATCAGCTACAATAAGTTCTGGGAAAGGAACAATCGAGAGCCTATTGTTCACAAAATATACTGAAGAAAATGGAGACTGATCAGATGCACACTGAAGGGATCGTTCGGTTACACCACTTGCCATGCCCCTGAGTGGGACCCAAATGATAAACAACGGGTTCGGTGTCCAAGGATGACATGGAGATCGTGTGAAGAGGAGATGAGACTATGGTCAGTCATGCGGAACCCAAGGGAATAATAATACTAACCGATATACGTCAGTGTATCTCAAAGCAGTTCCTAGGTGTCATCCGTTGAGCAACAGAGGTATTGCCATCATTATTTATTGACGGAAATTACAGTATGCACAATCTTAGTTTCCCTATATAGTCCTGTTTTCATATGGATACGCATTCTAAAATAATAATAATGCCTGGTACTCTGCAGACTAGGATGAGGCACTTCTTTAGTGTTAAGTGAGCCTAGAAGCATCATGCACGCTGTGCTGTGTTCAAGATGTAAAGATGAAAACAGAATCCCTTTTCTCCTTGCTGACACCAAACTGAAAGAATGAGTAAATGTCATTATTTGTGACTTTGCTTGGTATATTTAGGTGAGACCAAAACCCACTGATAACAATGATGAAACTGAGTGAGTACTCTTAGTGCACTGAGGATATACCTAGAATTTAAAGTGTGAATGTTAAAAAGGATATTATCTTTCATTACAGACGGGCAAAAGTGAGTGTACCATGCTTGGAAATATAAAAATGACTTCATATTATACTACGTGTCAATGCCTTGCTCATCTTAAAATTACCGAACTAAACGTTGATAAGACTCAGCATGATACGATGCATAAGATTCATTACATGACGAAATAATAATGTCCACAGTTGTGTAAATCAACGTCCAAACCTTTTAGTAACTTTTATTTGTCCTCTTATACTTTTATGCTCATTATTGCTACTTAAGTAATCTTTGTTTGGTTACCACGAGTTCATCCACCCGTTTTTTTTCTCGCTAAAATAGAATCAAAGTTAGTGATCAAGAGGGGAAATAGTTCATATTTCCATCAAATATTTGGGTAAATCAGGAGCTGACCGGGATAAAGGGTTTAAAAAAATACAGTACAAAGATGCCGGCTAACATTTAAACAAGCATATGAACACTATCTATTTGCAGCCTACGCGTTTTGCTGTTAAATATTTTTCAAACGTCATGATCTTAAACCATCAGCAATTCCTTATTAAAAAATGTATTCTAAAAGTCACTTCATCATTATTATCTCATAATCTGTAGTAAGTATTTAGTTGACAGTGAAACTGCAGCATATCCGCAGATATTTTGCCTGTAATTACCACAATTAAATGCACATTTGATGCAGGCTCGCCACTGTCTTTGAAACCACGTCTCCATAAAATCTCAACGTAAACATTCCCTGTAGACAAGAACTTACGTCGATATACTTTGGTTCTTTTACTATGTCACACATGAATTCGTATAAGTGATGGTTCATGATTACTTGAGTCCATGTTGATGGATTAATATTAAACGCAACGTGCTCGTAAAATGAATACGCTAGATCTGAACCCTTGCAACCCCCTTGGAGAACCTTAGTTCATGGCGAAACAGTAGTCTCGTCCTCCTGACTCTCCAGATTATTTCAGTTCATAAAATTTAAATTTAAACTAGACGCAATTTTCGGGATTGCATAACCCATGTTCAGTATAACACTTTTAATATACTTGTATTTATTGACATAATGATTAAAAGAATTTGTCGGTCTGTTTGTGCCGAGCAATTTACGTATTCAGAAATTAAAATGATCTTGCTAAATTAAACCTCAAGATGAGCGATTTGACATAAACTATGGAGACTCACACACAACACTTGACCAGACTTTTCAGCATTTTAGTTTACTATTCTTGCCATAGCTCTGAATTTATGAAATTAACATCATCATCATTATGAATGTAAGTATGAAGTTACTCTTTTACCATAAAACAACCTTTGATGACTCATAGTGTAAACAAATGTAAGCAGCTTTACAGGACATGGTGAATTCATTACATTTTATTTACAATTAAAATACATCGGCTGCTAAACTACATACTATCTACAAATGCTTAGAATTTGACATGAACTATGGTGAGATGAATGCCTTTTAGCAGTTAGAATTTAGGTCTTGCGCAGTGAGAATCATAAATAGTGAAATTTAAGCTCTTATATTCTGAGGAAAGGACAACATGAACAGTTAGGAATAACTTGTGTTTCTAGCTGGCAAAATGTTTGCAATAAGTCAGCTGGTAATCAACTAGTCAAAAAAAAGAAAAACAGATACCAGATTCAAAAAGTGACGCCGGATGTAACCGTAAATATCGAACAGAACCTCTTATATAGCGCGAAATATGCTAATACAGTATCTTTTTCAATCGATTTGTGAAAACTCAGGAGATGATTGTTTGATGATAAGTATATTAAACCTCATAATAAGAAGTCAAGACACCGCACAAATAACGAATTTATCTTTTAAGAGAAAATAGTAATATACACAAATGTATTCTTAGCAGTAGTGCAGAAAATGAAAACAGCACTACACAGGAACAACATGTAGCCTAAAAATTAAAATGAAAACACGATTAGTTCACAATTCAGGTAGAAACAATGTATCATTAACAAGACAAAAAAGTTATAATAGGATTAACACTAGAAAATAAAAATCGATTAAAGCTAAAATAATCAATAACTTCCTGCTAAAATAATGCTTATTGCTTAAAATACAATATCACTCATTCACAAGATGAACATAAGAATCTGTATGCAGGTCATTCAATATTTAGTTGGACTGCATTATGTTCTAGAGAAGAACTCATACATTTTAGAAAACGTATGACTTGAACAGCTTCCATAAAGTGTGATTGGATCACTAATGATTTTTTTTATCAAGTATTGGATTGCAGGAATTTGACTGGTTACTGGTTCGATCACAAGTCGACATCAATTAGAGAACCACTGGAAAACCTGGGAGTACTGGACAGCTGTTTCGCCCTAGTGGCTGAATGGTTTACGAGCTCACCTAGTAACCTGAAGGTCTTGGGTTCGAACCCCCCGTGAGTGCGAACTGATGAAGAGCCCAAAACCAGGATGAAACTACTGATTTATTTACAGGAAACTAGAGTATGTTGTGCTTATGAGAATTCGCACAAGCAGTAAAAGCGATTTCGTTGTAATGAAAAATAAACAATTACTATACTATATAACCCATATAGATATACTGAAGTGCAATCACTCATTAATACGCAAAATCATTCGACAGCATACTGTTCTTTCTTCGTTGACATGCACTTATAGTGTTGAATGACAATTATTTTGAGTTCTTGTGTAATCCAAGTACTCTCAGACACAAATGAAGTCTTGGTTACTGAAAAGTTCATAGGTCAAACAGTAATAAACTTCCAACTTCGAAGATGTGTATATGATTAACTGGAGGGTGATTTTTTTCACATAAAAGTATTCTCAAAATTAGGCTTTGAAGCACCTCACTCATGATATAAAAAACTGCACTAACTAATAAACATGCGACATGATTAGTACATTAAGTAATGGAAACATATACTTCATCAGGTTAGATGATTGAAAGTAATCAGTCAGTCAGTAGACGAAGTTATCGGGAAATTCCATATTAGTTTGTTTATTAGATATATCACACAGTGAATCAGTATTATTTACTGGATGACAAAGTTTCGAACAAAATTTATTGTTCATAATCATATCAACGGTAATCACACAACTTTGAAACTTGAGTTTTATAGTTTTCTTTGTCCTCTCCTATATGTCGTAGGAATAGTAGAATTTTCCAGATATCTGGGACAGGTGTTGAATCATTCCTATTACATGTGTTTGCAGTTGATTCGATAAACAAAGCTTCTGTTATCAATCTCTCCATCCACCCTGTGACATTAGATTTTAAAACTGTCATCTTATCCCATCCATCCTATTGTATGGTTGTGTGTGATTGCATATAATGCTATGGTTGAACTATTCTCTAGATTCTCTAGAAGTTATCGAACTTATTGATATTCATAAATTCGAAACGCGCCGCGCAGTGATAAATCCCTCTTAGCATGATGACGACATTATGAAGTTGACTATTAGAATTCAGTCTATACAGAGTAACATTGGTTGCTCCTGAATAACCAATCGATGTATACTTAATTATATTAGACGAATTACAGATAACACCCAATAATAAGTAAAGATTCTTCTGAAAAGCTATTGGTTCAACTTAATTTAAGGAACCACCTTGGAATCGAATGCTTTCCAGCTACATAATGTCACAGGGTTAGACTGGTGTGAGAAATATGTGGAATAAAGACACAGTGTACAGCTATTTTGTCCTAGTTTGGAACTCTACAGCATCGGACACTCGTAGATTCAATCAAGATCAAGCTATCGACTTGTAGATGACAATACTATCACCCTGTATATCAAAACTAAATCTATATTATTCAACTTCTGTCAATTTTCCAAATAGTGCGACTATCATCCATTATGGAAACCACCTTGAAATCACAACGTCTTCTAAATCTTGCAAGTGAATATATCAGTCCACCAATCCACTAGGGATACTGTATCCGAAATTTTAGAATGAGAACGGACAAAGAGTTTACCTCTTGGTCTCATATATTGAAAATCTGATCACGTAACCTACACGCTGTAATTGTTATACACTATTACATGTTTTGTGAAACAAAGTGATCGTTTTGAAGTGGTCGAACATTAAACATATTCTCTTATTAACTAACATATAGCTGGGTTATTTCCTCAATTGACCTCGATCAAGGGACAACAGGAAAAAGAGGGCATTTATTATCCCTCATGAAAAAGCAGTATATGAAAGTAACCAAAAATTCCTCAGTTCATTCAGCCAGAAATAAACCATTCAGTCTATATTTGTTAAGAAATAATTCATTGATATAAAACAAGTGTAGCATGTGCTACTGACAACATTTATCAGTAGTATATAAAGACATTCATCGGCATAAAAGTAACGAATAGCAAGGAGATTAATTAGACGTAAAAGAGAGCAAATGAATCAGCGTTGCTGCAAAACATGGGAGACGTGAAAAGGAATACCAAGAAACACAATACGAGGAACAGAATTAGCACAACACGGATGATCTGTGCGAATGATGATTTGGAGATAAGGTGTACATATAATTTGGCTACACAAAGATACCAAATTTCAAATAAACATCCCTTTGTAACAGCAGAAGGCGAGACATGGAAGCAAAGGTATATTTTCAAGTGATCAAACAGCTATGTATATCTATACAGTTTATATTCTCTAACCAATCACTGAGCGTGTGATTTTTGTTTACATTAAACGACATGAAATAGAATGTTCAAATGCATATAGTATTCGGTTGATATGCAGCAATGAACCATGGGAATAGTATTCAGACGTTAACACCAACAAATACAATGATTCTTCCTGTGAGAATAATATTCCTTTGGAAACCATTGTCCGTATCACACCACCACACCTTCACCAAGTCTCTTGTCCTCTACCGTTACACAAGTAGCTAGGTTATAGACAATTTCCGGAAGTTCCAATAAGACGCTACTATCAAGGAAGACGTGCATCGGTGGTATAGCGGTTAGGACCCTCGCCGACTATGCACATGGTCCGGGGTGCGATCCCCCGCCACCGACGCACTCCTTTACCTCGCTGAGCCAGAAATAATGCTGGTAAAGAGGAAAGGTTGGGCACGAGGCTAGCAACCCCATCCTGTAAAAATTAACACTGCTACAGAATTTTCAAGCCTTTAGCTTGAAGCCCTATGTTCCACTGGGGAACGTGAAGGAAAAAAAATCAAGGAAGACAACCAAGTCCCCTGTGATGACAGTTACTCGTGAATGAAATCAGTCATTAGCACTAACAGATTTCTAAACTCAAATACACCGAAAAACCACATAATTGTCTGGCATTCAATCCAATACAATTGATAGAACACAGAGATTTCAAGCGAATAGTATCACTTACTCCTAGAATTTACCAAAATCTCTAATTATTTTACAAGAAACTATCAAAGGTATTGTTTATATAGCACGGAATATTCACACTAACAAAGCAGTCAGAGCTGATGTTACCCAATAGAAATACCCAAATAAAAATACGTAAATACATTTTCTCTAAATAGTAAGGATTTCCTGCTTCGGTCTGGGTGCCCGGACAGTATCTCAGCCCTCACACAATGAATTGAATAAAGCAACAAACAATCAATGAAACTTATCGTGTGCTATTACACGTGTTGCAATTTCCTTGCAATTTCTTCCCTTCCCGATGATAGTTAACGAATACGGTTTGAACTTGTTAAGCATGACTGTTTTCCTTCCAGATGAATTTCTTTATCCGTTCTTTACTTACATATATTTTTTTACTCTTTTTTCTTTTTTTTCTTTTGATCTATGTTGTTTTATTATTATTGTGTGGCGCATCCTTCTTGGTGCCATATTGTACCAAGTTTTTATGCGTTTAAATAAATAAACAATACTAAGGATTTACGCGCTGTAAAAATGTTAGCATGAATAGCTTACCCTAAGCTGGCATTTCCAGTTGGTTTCAGCAATGAAACAGAAAGCACAGTATTGACGTTATTTCCTCGGATTATCGACATTTGAATACAACTCTAAAGTGTCAACAATAACAAAAAGGCAGATATTGGACAAAAAGGATTATTTAGTGCATAAATACGTTAACGCATGAGATCATTTTAATTCATAACTACTAGGGTTATTTGTTTACATAACTTTTAATTAACTGAACGTTGACAATGAGAGCAGCTGTAAACTGTAATTAACGGGCAGTTCCAGCATATGAAATCAAAACTACTCAGTTATGCATTATTGAAACACAGATTTAGTACAGTATGGATAGCCAGAGATGCGCTACACAAAATCTCATAGTTTGAGATAGGGCTCGGAAACACTCCGGACGCCTAGACTGAAGAAGGTGGTTGTCTTAAGGAACCATATACTCTCCTCCTAAGCTTTCGAATTGAAGTCTGATCCAAAAACCAGTGGAGTAGTGTAAGGAACTACGTTCTCATGGTTGTGTGTGACCAAAACAGGTTCATATGCGACTCGGTCTTTTAGGATTCTCTGGTACATGTGCACCATAGGCTTGGAATCGGGGTTTTCGAGCTCCTCTGAGTAGGCCTGTTCACCATTCCAGTTTTAAGTGCTGGACATACGCATCCACCCCTTCATATTTGTAAGGAATGACCCCCGCCGTGTAGTGATATAACTTTCAAAATTACTGTAAACTATTACAACCATAGTAGATTAACTTGACGTACATAACTGTTTATTTCAAGGTGCAGGGAAATAAACTAGAAACAATTAATGACTTCAAAAAATATATGAGAAATCAGGTGAATAATATATGCCACAAGTTGATAAAAGCTCTCAGTATATACCATTTTGAGCGTCTGGAACTATACTGGTTGAATATTTTTATTGTTCCCAGTTTTACATCCCTCAAACAGATTACCATATGCTTTTGGATACAACAGCTAAAGTTATAAAAAGATATTGCGACAATCCCCTTTGACTTCAGGAAACGGATAGAAAAGAACAACATTTGCAAGTATTCTTCAATTTGAATGCTGTTTTAACTATCATTTGTCCGAGAATTGGGAATTTATTGAACAGATATTGTTAAAGTAACAGCTTTATGAAAGCTGTCGTGAAGCGTAGTATGACACCATTACAATTAAACATTTTCAAACCTGAATTATTTAAAAAAAAGGTTCTTGACCAACAAGTGATACTGAATTTAACCAAGATTTCTTAACGCAGCAGGCTAACAATAACTATACAAAATAATGTCTGAGGATAAATAGGGCGGAAGTTTACTTCGTCAATGAAATAAGGTTAAACGAATTAAATCAGTGTAGTTTCTTAACAAAATATTCCAACACTTTCTTTCTTATTTCAAGTGTTGCTTTTCAAGGATTTGGTTGATTTCAATTTTGATCACGTATTGAATTCATTCAGAGAAAAACTGAAAACCAGGAGGAAGTGGACAATTCAGGACTCTTCAGCAGTACATACCCATGACCCAACCGGAGATTTAGCCTAGGCCCCTTGGATTACGAGGCCAACCTATAACATAAGCGACTTCTGGTGGTTGCGCTATATATCGTGAATTGACAGAGGTTAAAATTAATAGGATTTATATCCCATTTAATGAATGGTTGATGGGCTGGTTTCGTAACTCAGAGGTACTGCGTTTGGTAGGTCCCTAGTACGGTCATGGGTGTGCACTTCTTAAGAGTCCCGGGCTAGGCCAAAACGGCTGTCCAGTACTCTCTGGTTTTATATTTCACTAAAAACAGGTGAGTAAAACCTGCAATAAATGATAACCTATTCCTTCTGTTGTAAATGGACAGTAACACTAATCAACAGAAAGACCAAGTGATTAAAGTTTAAGAAACTAATCACCATAATTAATGTGAAAAGACTGTGAATAAACCGTCTGAATTATTTATCAAAAGAAGCATACAAAAAAAACAATTAAAATTCCTTTTAAATCTTACTCCAGGAGGTGTATTTTTAAAGACAGTAGATATATCCTGTAGAGAAGAAAAGTTTTTGGCAGTTACTGAACCAAATTGAACCACCAAGTCTCCAATTTTCAAATCCTATGAAACAAAGAATGAAGAATTCATTAATCATTCCCATTCATGTATTAATGAATCAACTAGTCATCAAACAAAAAGTGGCAAGGACAGATGAACAATCAGGGGAGTCAGTAGGCTTCTTTGGTATTCAGTCACGTTTGCTGTAGTGAATGCGAAAATTGTATTTTACTGTACTATACTGTTTTATTCAAAAATGGAATCCACAATCGTTTTAAAACTTCACAGTGTTGGGATGTTACGTAATTTTCACTGTAACTAAATCTCAGTGATGAAGTAAAGAGTAAAAACAAGACTTTGTGGCTATATGATTATCATTTCTATACAACTTTAAATAAACCTAAGAAGTATTTTTCAAATTCCTTGAATCTGCTCTTTGTTTTTTTTTATTCCTTCATGTTCCCAGTGGAACATAGGGCTCCAAGATAGAGCTTTGAAGTTTCAGTAGCAGTACCAGTGGTACTTATTTTTACGGGATGGGGTTGCTAGCCTCATGCCGAACCTTCCCTCTTTAGGCTCTTTATTACTAGCTTAGCGAGGTAAGGGAGTGCGTCGGCCGGGAATTGAACCCCGGACCACATGTGTGTTTGGCAAACATTTTACCGCTATACAACTAACACGCCCACCATTCTTTGATACTGTCGTGAATTTCATTAACGAATTATTTTCTAGGTAATAAACTAGCAATGGAGTCTTCGATGTTTATCCCATCAAATCTACGTGTGGTTATCAGTAAGTATTTAAATTACAATAAAAGATTTAATTTAATTGTGATGGGTTTTTTCTTAGTGGGAGTCACAGTGACTGGGATTACTGAAAATTCAACTAAATAGTTCTAAAGAAGACGAAATGAACTTTTTATGTTCAAGTCCCAGTCATTATGGAATAAAAAGGCATGAAATTTTACTTCAATTTGCATTCAAAAACAGAGAAACAGGTATTAAAGTCAAATAGTTAAAAGCAGATAAACTTGAACATATGCACCCATACTACCGTTATCAAGACCACAACCACTTACTTATATATACACCCAAAACGTTTCATCGACATATCCATCAAATCTAAACCACTTAAACCTCCTACACTTTCTGTTTCTTAGTTGTATAATTTTTTCTTCCCCCACCCTCTGATAAATCTCTACCCCTTATTACCACTGTTATTAACTTAGCTGTCGTCCAATTTTAGTTGAATTCTACTCAACCCGTCAATCTTATTACGTCATTCAACCCACTTATTTAATTTTATTTTTACTTCCACCCAATTGACGCTTTCTATATTACGTAATTTGTTATCTAAAAAACTTTCAATTTTCATGATTTCATCATGAGCTGACATTAGTTAGAGAACCATTGGAAAACCTGGGAGTACTGGACAGCTGTTTCGTCCTAGTTTGGGACTCTTCAGCAGTACGCACCCACCGCAGGAGGTTCGAACCCAGGACCTTCCAGTTACAAGGCGAGCTCGTATACCATTAAGCCACTGGGACCCGATCCAATGGTCCTTGAATTCTAACTTCTGCCAATTCACGATATAGCGCGACCGCTAGCCAATGTCTTCGGCGAGCATTTGTCCTCACACCCGACCTGCTGCACCCTACTGGTCACGACTTCCCACTGGAACCCAGGTAACTACCTACCTGAATAGGGCCAGTCGCCAGTGAGCATCTTATTGGTATTCAAGTGTTGGTTTGTAGGGATTCAGAAGTTAGAATTCAAGGACCATTGGATCGGGTCCCAGTGGCTTAATGGTATACGAGCTCGCCTTGTAACTGGAAGGTCTTGGGTTCGAACCCTGGCGGTGGGTGCGTACTGCTGAAGAGTCCCAAACTAGGATGAAACAGCTGTCCAGTACTCCCAGGTTTTCCAATGGTTCTCTAACTAATGTCAGCTCATGATGAAATCGTGAAACCAATCAAATCCCTACAAACCAACACTTGAATTTACAATTTGAATGATACGTCTTTGGAAGCATTCCTTTGTGGCTAAAAACAACTTAATATATACATATGCGATTGTTGTCGAAAACAGTATATATATAGTTTACTGGACGATTGTAAGCCACGAAAAGAGTATAGCCTTAGTATGGAACTGACAACCCGCCCCGCAAAAGCAGCGAAATCACCCCTACTGTTGGATTAGGAACGCACATGAATGAAAGAAGAATATATATATATATATATTATGAAGTCAGCAGGACTGTGTAACGACGAGTTAGAATGGATAACAGAAGAGAGAAGGTCAAGTTAAGCCCGAAGAACTTCAATTAATAAAATCAAAATACTGATTTATTGAATGCTACTAAATTAAATCTAGCTAAGGCCTAAAATATACCTTCACCTTTTATTTTCATGCATTTATGAAGAAAAATCGAACAATAAGATTACCAAACACTAGTAACACTCACCGCTTGTTCTGCTATTGAATTAGGTGCTATCTGATCAATACGTAGAAATGGGGTTTTAATAACTTCAGAAGACTTCTCTTCAATTTGTCTGTCTTCATTTGAATCCTGTTTGCTAGGATGTGAACATTTTCCAGATGGATTTTGACGAGCATATTCATGTAACTCGTGTAAAGCAGTTTCTAATTCAAGCATTATTTGTTTGTGATCAGTATTTAAACCTGAAAGAAACAAATAGAAATTCACATATTCTGCTTGGTGAACATTTCTCACGAAAATGTGATGGTATATAAAAGATCAAAATAGTGAACCAAATGAAGCTGGAAAATATACTCTATTGAATTCTTGGTCAGTGGCAGCTTGCTAATCTCCGGGTCTGATTGTACGGAGTCCATTTAAACACAAGAATGGTATGTGTGTGTGTGAAATAATTAGAGGTAACCAGCTAAAGTGAGACAGTGCTTCTTCGTCTTCAATGATTCACTAACTAATATAGATTTGTGATAGGAACGAGTCTTAAACAAATCGGACAGTTCCAAATAAATTCGAATTGACAAGAAAGTCAGATATCTTCACAAATATCCTCAGAAATTTATAAAATCTATCACAGAATATAGGCTAGCCACAATTGGATTACTACGATAATTATGGTAGCTTGAATAAAACATTAGTACGGACTAGTGAATGAACTATTGGGATCCATGTAGAATTAAAAACGTTTCAGTCTGCATCTGATACCTGTCAAAAACACATGGTCGCAATTTTCTAGAACGGATCCATTCACGAATATCGAAATGTGAAGAATGCAGACGAATTACCATATTGCAATACCATGGATAACACTCTTTCCGACTTTTGTGGCTTTGTAACACAGAAAAGATATCGCTTCACGCCAGAGTTAACCACCAGTTCCTACCACTTCTAACTAAAATGACAGTGAATAATACGGTTTCATGAAGAAATCCATCATGAAATTAATCATAGACAATGACTGATATTCACACTGACAATGCCAGAGGATGGTAGTAGCTTGCAACGAATCCACAAAGGCAGGAGAATGCAAGCTAATGAGTAGGTAGCAATATGCTCGACTAAAATTTTGAAGATAGGCACTTGAATCCTGTTTTAGGCCATAGATTTGCATTGAAAAATATGAGAGAAATAAGTCTCAGTGATCTACAATTAACAATAAATGAAACTGTGACTCAATGGTCTACACAGTCGACTTTTAACCGACAGCTGGCTAACTCAAACCATATTTGATTTACAGAGATTTGGGTAACCAGATATTACTACAGAAGTTCACCATATTTGTGATTAGTACACACAAAAGTATGGTGTTATGTATGCTGGACAGTGTTGCAGCTTTCAGGTTCTTGAAGATAGCTTTTACGAAGATATACTTATGATATGTTTAGGAGCTAGAAATAAATCTAATCCCAAGTTATATGCATCATTTTGTTTTTGTTAATTTTTCTAATTTTATTCCTTTGCCTTCCGACTGGAACATAGGGCTTCAAGCTGCAGTTTTGAAGTCCCAGTGGCGCTGGTATTGTTTGCACAGGGTAGGATTGCTGGCCGCTAGCTCAACCTCCCATTTTACCGGCCTTACCACCGGCTTAGCGAGTTTTAGGAATGCATCAGCCGGGAATCGAACCCCGGACAAAGTGCGTAGTTGGCGAGTACTCTATCGCTGAACCACCGACACACGAAAAAGCCGGCAACACCCGGTATTCCCAGCCGGTCACTCATGCAAGTACTAACTGGCCCCAGCATTGCTCAACTTCGGTGGTCCGACGAGAACCTGTGTTTTCAGCATAGTATGGTCGCCGAACATATGCATCATATAAAGGTTAAAATACACCATGTTTGATATCATAAGCAAAAAAAGTCATTATGCATAAACAATTCATATCATTCATACTACTTAAACGCAATGAGAGGTTTCAAAAAAAAGTAAACCAAAGAATGTGATAGTAAAATGTTAAATTTTTTATAACAGAAGTGAAACAAATCGACACACTGCTTACAACGAATATTATTTCGTGTGATTCGTATCAACGCCACGTCAATATCAGAGCGCGGAAAACCCTCGTCATCAACCAATGGAGTATCAAGTTCAACATCTCCATTCTGGTTAAATAGTCAAAAACAGAAAATGAAAAAAAAATTTCGAATTGATTAAGAGACCTAAACAAACTATAAAATGAGAATAAAAATTATATTCCTTACTTTATGCAAATGTTCGCTTCTAAAGTCTGTGAGGCTATTTAGTTTGGAACTTTTCAGTAGTACACACATTCACGACCCTACTGGGGTTCGAATCCAGGATCTCCGGGTTGCTAGACGAGTCCATCGACTATTGGGCCGCTGAATGATTCAAACCATAACGATAGAGCTGTCCAGTACTCACTCTGCAGACATGTTCCTTCTTTCTTTGCTCAAACTAATCAAGGGGATCGGTTATATCAACATGTACCTTGTGTTTAGTGATCGATTTACTTCTTAATCATAAAACAGTTATATCAACCGTTCAGTCATTTACTGTTTGCTAAATATGCGGTATAATATCAGTACGACAACATATCAGAACAACAAACAGTATGGCTCCATTTCACTCAGGATCACAGAAATTACTTTTACCTAAAAAGGTTAAAAGCTTGATCCCTGTATATTCCAAAAGGACTGGATGGTCTACTATCAAACTCCCTTAATAAAAGACTTAAATATTTTTCGTTTCCAACTCTCACTTCTATCCATTTCCCTGTTTATCTTAATCAAGAATTAATTATTACTGATATACATTTGTTTTTGTTTGCAGCATATAAAGACAGATACAGTTGTCACATAAACAGACTTGGACCTCACCAATTTACGGTGTAACTTGTCTTAGAAAAACTCATCACTTCAAAAATTATATTTTCTAAAGTCACTTAAGACAAATACACGTATGAATTGATTTTTAAACAATAAACACTGCTCACCTGATGAAGTATTTCACTTAGTTCAGCTAACCTCTTCTCAATCTTAGCTTTCTCATTTACTAAAGTATCATACCTAGACTTAATGACATCATACTTGGCAGTATTTGGATCAGCCGCCTATAAATGTTGAAAAAACATTATTTTAAGTAAATGAAACAATAGTAAATCAAAGGTAGATTTCTGTAAAAATTTATCACTTAGGCGTAATCTTTGAAGTGTACTGACCACGTAAAGATTGTTAACGTACAAGCCTTGAATAATTTCTACTATCCACCATTGAAGTATGCTTAATAAGAAATAAATCTGTAATCGAAATTACTTATCAGATATAAATAACCAATGCCACTGTATGAATTAATTCAAGCACGAAATCCAAATGTTATCCAATACATTTATAACAATAGGCTTTAAGTGGCTATCGATGCATGCCAAAGATAATGATAAAAGCCTAACTATAAGTTTGACTAATTGGATTTTCAGACTGCATACTGGAAAGTATGCTTTTAATTGAATTTTAGATTTATCCCGTCGATTGATCGGACCGAAGTATTCAGTCGTCAGGTCGACATGTCGGCTTCTTGTGCAAATGCCTCGACGATGTCTGGGCATCTAATTAGTATTTTATTGGTAGATGGTGACTAGCAGTGGAATCCAGGATGCGCTTTGGCGTTTGAAACTATGGGCATTGGGTTCGAGCTTCGGTGGGAATATCATCACTCACCGAGAAATGCAGGTACATCCAGATGACGAGTCCTAATTAGGACGAAATGCGCATCCTGGATTCCACTGCTAGTTATCATCCACCAACTAAACTATGCTTCTGTTTATCTCCCGTTTGAACATCTGTTTACTCTCTTCTCTTGCTTTTTGTGCTACACAGAGTGTGGCAACTTGAACTACTGCACTTCTGTGCAAAGTTCTATGTTGAAACCATTCAGTCAGTCAGTCAGAAAAGTATACCAAAAAGCTTTCTATCTAATATGCCGGTTCTTTCAATTTGAATATTTATTGTAGAATGATAATCAAAAGGATGACAGTCACTGAAATAAGCCCATACTAAGGAAAAGTCATGCGAATGAATTTGTTAACATTTCCTTCAAGCAAAATTAAATGCTGAACAGACAAAATCTGAGACAGCATTGAATTAACAGTCTGCTATTGATGTAATGAGGATTAACCGTGGTGATTATAGTCAAATTCTGACCTAGTTAGCAGTTGGGTGTCGTAACTCAGGTGGTTGAGCACCGGAAATATATTTCAAAGGTCACTGCTTTTGACATTCTGCTCTGATCCAAGATCTTAATTTACATCCAATTGTCATCCATTATAAAAGTATATTAATATAGTTTGAATAACTTTAAATGAATAGAATTGATCAGAAAATCTCCGAATCTAGAACACTCATGGTAAATAATTAAAACAAGCTTCGTTATGCCATCGCTTCAATATTATTTTAGGTTTTCACTGACAATAGGCCATAATTTCAAATCGACAGCACCTATATGTAGCACGAAAAATTTTAAGGTCATTTTGGCCTACATTTCACTGGATCCCTACCATAGAGAAAGACTAGATATTAAAGGTCTAATACTTACTCCCGGAACTTACTGAATAAACCTATTTGATAGGCTACAGGTAGAACAAAGAAGTTTACACGTCGAACATATTCTCAGAATCAATGACTAGAGGATCAATGGATTTAATGGCCTAGACGCAGTTATGAGTTACCATAAATCAATTCAAACTTATATTAATTTACCAAGTCTACCTCAGTAAAATGACTAGCTTTCCCTATTAGTACGAATATATCATTTGCATAAACGCGAATCACCTTATTATGAATGACTAAATATTTTTTGATCGAATCAGTCCGTTTTAAATATCAATGCCACATGACTCCATGCCAATAATACTGACTTGTTACTTGGGAAGTAGATTTGATCCTTTGTTCAAATCATTCATAATTGTAAGTCCAGACAAAATACTTACTTACTTACTACATTACGAGGCTAAACTGGTTCTATAATAAATGAATGGAAGTGACGAAAAAATCTCAGTCACAGGAGATGAACTGCTGCCCTGCCAGTTAAGCCAATGGTATCCAGTTGCTAAATATGTGGCATAATAGCCATACGAAAAACAAATATAAAACGACAAACAGTATGGCTCGATTACACTCAGGATTATGGGTTGTGCACAGATGTTGTGCGAATGAATGATGAGTCTCGTAGCTCAGCTAGTAAAGCACTCATTTATTAGACCAGAAGCTACCTGCTCCAATTTTATCGTCATTCATTTCACCTTTGGTAACCACCCCCATCACAAATAGAGTAGCTTTGTCAGTTAAATGCATCCTTTATGAATGATATCACTAAGGACTGAACTTACTCTGACAGTAAATGATGTCTGTATGCAAAATATAAACAAGAGTCTTTAGAGAAGAACTCACAAAACTTCGGAAAACTTCAAAATAGACAGTAAAGTCAAAATTGTTAGTGTTTTACCCACATTATAAAATAATACAGGACACTAAATTAAAGTTCTTATAATATATTCACTGTACGACTTTTAAGATTGACTTTTTTTTACACCGAAATAGACACACGACTCAAAAGTCAAACATATAACTAAATACATTGTTACGTAATAAATCATCACCGTAATAAACTAAGCTAGTAGTACAATAATGTATTTGAAAGGATCGATACACTTTAAGTGATAAATTTAGGAGTTTAACGTGTACAAGAGAATCTGAAGCGATAGCTCAGCTTGACAGACTACCGTCGTTGTAACAGACTGATAACTAAACTAAAAGAAACTTAATTCCTGGAGGATTAGATCAGCTACCTTGAAATAACTGCCATGAAGGTTAAGAGAAGAGCAAATAACAATTATTCTGTCGTGCTGTCACGAAGAAAAGCAATTTACACGAAAACAACAGGCAAAATTAAAGGGAAAAAAAGCCTCTAACGCATGTGTATAAATATAATTTTATTTACATCTTTTTAAACATTTGAGATTGACTGAGACAACCATATTTACAAGATTTGATTGTTTATATATTATGCTTAGAATGGAGCAATGAAAGTAAGATTGGTTAAAGCATCGCATATAATCTTGGGGTCAGGAACTTTTGAAAATGGCTCCAATTCACCAGCTAAAGCAATCAATGGAACTAAACATGTTAAAACCCCGTCGAAAAGTAAGGATTCAACGCCAACTGGGTCAACTGGTCCCTGTGCGAGAAAACAAAAAAGAGCAATTACCAAATCACCTGAACATAAATAAACACCAAATTTACTTTTTAAAAAGCATAGTTTCCTGAATGTGAAAGAACAAACAACAAAAGCTGGTTGACTAAGAACTTTCATCACGAGACCTAGTGACCTGAATAGTGATAACCTGAATCTATTCGCATTGAATATGCCTGGTTGCTGTACTGATACGCAATCAAGCAGAAAACAATAATAGGTGAAGTGCTGAAACATTTTTCTGTAATCACCATTCTGTGCTATAAACATCTTAATTACACAGAAACCTTAATATTCCTAAAAAGAACACTATTATAACTTTCAGTATTACCTCATAATCAGTAACGTTCTTAGCAAACACTGCAAACCGATCGCTTAGTAACTGGAAGTGAGCAGCTATATCAAGTAGACAGTAAGATGTTGTTTGAGTACGACTCAACTGAACTTCCAAACGATCACGTTCTTTTAATTTTCGATCTTCTGAGACAGTTTCACGTTTTCCGTGTTGTTCAATTTGTTTCAATAGACGCTTTGCCTTGTTTTTCCATTCCCGTTTAACTTTCTCTGGCATTGTCAACCATAAAGCCTTAAAGAAAAGCAGAGATGAAATGTATAAAGTAAATCTTTCAGAATCAATATTGAATAATGAATTAATCTTTTGCGAATCAATAGGTTACTTAAAAAAATTAGCAGTGATTACTTGGATATTCATTATATTCACTGTTTAACTAAGGTAATCAATAATTACACAGATGATGGAAGAAAAAGGTTGGGAGTCAGCATGAAAAAAGGCTTAGAAGTAAAACAAAAGCAAGAGAACAGTGTATGATAACGATAAACTAATATCCCGCCTACTTCAAAGTTTTGAAAACGCTAATATGATGTGATGGTGTGATGCAATAAGTCCTTCTCAAGTGAATAGCGATTTTCAATTAATCGAACAAACTATTTAGAAGCACTCTAAACAGACATTCCGTATCCCCCTATGAAACCGACGAATTCATTTCGTGGTTGAAATGCTACATTTTAGTACAAATGGCAATTACATACGGAAAGGTGGTTCATTCTTTAAGGAATTCACTTGATAAATATTTTACTAACATAATCAGCTGACACTCAGAATGCATGACCATAACAGGAAACCTTATTTTATGGTTGATCCCAATCAACCATGCCTTACAGCAGTACATCCCATAAATTTACACTACCTAGTCCTCTTTCAAACAAATTCTACTTCCATGGTATAAAGTCACTCAATTTTACTTAAAAATGTTTGCGTCACAGAGCAAAGACGTAATACTTTAGTGAAAAATGTGTAGTGTAGTTAGTTACTCACCAAGTCCAACTAAACTCTCTTCACCAATTCCTGCTGGGTTATATCCAGTGGGTAATTTCTACAACCCGAAAACTGTATTATTATGAGCATTAAAGATTATTTCATTGGCTTTTTGATAGACTTCGGCTCTTCATTACTCATCTACCTACTATTTTCTGTTACCGATTCAAACGTTTTTCAATGCTGCGATGAAAACAACAATATTATAGATTGCCTTTCCGAATCTGTATTAATTAATTTCAGTTACATGTGTACATCACTATATCTCAAGTGAAAGCGGCTGAAGAATGGTGCTCTGATTCTTACATGATCATTCAGATTCTTTTACTATCTATCACACTAGCTAAAATGGGTTTTTCAATAGATTTCAGCTTCCATGAAGCCATCAGACATTTCAATAAAGCCACTAAAGCGATTCTTTTAACTTTCATCAGTTTAGACGAATGAAATCTTTTGACCGAATGTACCAGTTAAACAATACGACGTTACAATATATTTTAATTTGGTATTAAATACTTGCAGTCAATTGATAGGAATTCCTCGGCCAAAGGTTTCATTCCTGCTCAAAGCTTAAGTTACTAAGCTCAGCTACTTGATTAAGCTCAAACCTTTGGCGCCTCTCCTACCACAATTCCAATGCGTTTAATTACATTGTCCGTGCACAAAAGCATACTAAAGAGATTTTGAAAATTATCTTAAGTATAGGCTACGTGAATGTTTAAAAGCGAACTAATACGTTCTGCAAAGCATTTCAATAAGGGATTCTACATATTTTAAGACAGTTTAGAATAGACGATTTTCTAATTAAAAGTAACTCCATTGTCTCCTCAAGAGGATTAATGCAATCTAAGAAATCACAGTCTTGTGCCTTTAAGGGATACCAATAATAAGTAAAAAGAAGTTAGTCATTAAACTATTTCTTAAGCCGTGTAAATTATTTGTAAAATCATGTTTATAATATAACTCAAACATATTTATTGTTGTACTAACTGGATGCAATACTGTAGTAAAACGCTGAGAATTCCATTCTGTATCACAAGTACTGTTTTGAAATAAAGCAAATTATTATTATATTACACACTACACCTAGAGATTTTCTTCACTGATCAAAAAAACTCGTGAAAACTAGAAATAAGTCATGATAAAATCCATAATGAAATTAACAAAATCCCCATAAACTCAACAGTGAAAATGTTAACAAACCTGCCATCTATGGTTCGATGACTTCTGATTTTCCTTTCCTGTACCCACATTACTTGGATTATTATCATTAGCATCGTTTACATCATCCACTAGTGCAACTCCCGGAGAAGAACCATACTTTTTCTTATTTACATGAACAAACAAAGAGTAACCATTCAGACGTCTGTAGTGTTTTAATTCCTTGAAATATAAACAGAAAAGTGAATATCAATTAAACAAAAACTGACTAGAAATTTATTTAGAAAATTTTTAACACAATTTAATACTGACTGATGAAGTAGAATTCACAATCTTTTAAGGTCTACGATGAAAATGCATGAGTTATATGATCCATGTTTACGATCAGATTTTAATACAACAATCTAAAAGTCGCATGTTTTGACATATCCCACTACTTTTGATCTAGTTGTGTTTTGTGAACTGGATAGTTTATTTGCGCTGCTGCTTCCCCGCCGCTTTTTGTAACGGATAGTTACAAAAAACAGTAAAAGGTGAACCCAATTCCCTGAAGAATGAAGTCTTTAAAATGATAAAGAGTGATCAATCTAACGCTAAATTCTCTCGGAGAGTAAAACAACACGAAATTGATCTATTTCATATTTTGATAAAATAATTAAGGTTTTCTTTATACCTGTACAGAAAACAAAAACACTTCGGTTAGGTTATAAATTTTACTTGGGTTATCACTATTCCTTCCAGTTAACGTTACTTTTGCTCATAGTGTTCCTTCATAACGGTAGTGTGTCGGTGGCACAGCAGTAGAATGCTCGCCAACCACGACACAGGTGGTTCGGGGTTCGATCCCCGCCTGGTAAAAGAGGGAAGACTGGGCATGAGGCTAGCGACCCCATCCCTTAAAAATAAAGCCATTGCTACCGAAACTTTAAGCCTCTAGCTCCACTCGAAACGTAAAGGAATAAAAAAATTATAACGGCTACCTATGACTCTGGTCCCCTAAAATGGTGCTTTTAAAAACACATAAAAAAATTAACAGTGATTTTATTCACGTCCGACGACCAGTCTTCATTAGAAGGATATCTCACACCAAGAGACGTGATACAGATCGTTTCTACGAGGCATACGTGGAACTAAAACTCATTTGGCCAATAAGGCCGACATATGCGATAACAGAAGGACTTTAGCATTAAAAAACTACCTCTCACAATAACTTCGTTTTAGAAACCTGAATTCGCTCCCAAAAAAACGAAAGATTTGGTAATGGATAACACCAAACCAGAAATGAGGACAGGTACACTGTATTATTACTAAATATGACCACAGAGATGAGGAGAAAAAACCTAATTTTCTTATATTACGCTCTCAGAAACGCATCCCGGAAAATATATACCTACAGACAACAGGCTTTCATATAACACGTTTTGTAAACGAACTGAATCCTAGATAGACAGATGGACACAAACATAAATAAAGTTGAGATACTGATATTCATTCCTATTTAAAATCCCTTAATCATAGGATCGTGTGTGGGCACTAAGACCCAAACCAGTTCTTCAAAATTTAAAAAAGGTCAGCTACTCAGAGTTTGGCGAGTGCTAAAACAATAAATAAACTAACTCGTTTTAACCTACTAATCAATCATAAATGTTATAGAATCTTTAGATTCCTTCGTTACACAAAGAGAAGAGGAAAAATTAAAACAAACCTCAAAATCGATGTCATTTATTCCTGCACTACTTTTCATTCGACCAGCAGTTGCTACAGACGCAGAATTAGCTGTTGTTGTTGTTGTTGCTTCTTCATTATTCTCCTCATTAATAGTTGGCAGTCCGCTCGAGTTATTATTTGTTATCAACTTGTCCGTTTCAAATGAAGCGAAACCATCTACGTGAATATATATATATATATATATATATAAATGTAAATAATAATGAAAAACAGGAAAGTTTGTTTTTCTGTTCAGAATGTCTGTATTTTTAGAAATTTCTAAAATCATAACTTACTTACCATGTGTATGGTTAAACAATTAAGAGTTACTTGGTAAACCCACAGTACAAAACTTATTGAAACAATGACAAGTGACAAACACTTTGAGTAGAACTATATTCATAACATGACACATAAATAGGACATTTGAATCCATACATACAGAGAATTGTAGGACAGAGACATAGACTAATGGCAAGTTGAACATAATTCAATAGCTATGTATATGTGGGTGTGTAAGTGCGTTAAGAGTTAAGATACCTCGATTCTGTGAAACTCAGGGTTAATCTATATCAAATCAACCTTCATAAATAAGTAGAAGTTAGATACTTGTGCAACTCAACTATAGCTCTTTTAATTGTGATTTACTGAATTATATAAGCTGCCAAAATAATTTTCTAAAGAATCAATATGATCTAGTGAATATGTGAGTGCATAAATACAAATTACTGTAAAATCTTGCACAGATATGAATCATATAAAATTGCTGTAATCTACAACAGTAAACAAAAAGAAGTCAGCAGAATGACATTAGTACTAATTAAAACGGAAAAGTAAAGGGAAATATTAAATAGCTGACGATAGTATGCCATGATAAAAGTACTCCAACAAACAGAACACAAGCTGGAGGCCAAGTGCTAAACCACAACCCCCAGGTACCTCTAGATCAGAAAACCTACCTACTTGCCCGAATAAGCCGTCGGGTTTAAAGTATCAATATTAGAAGTCTTTTTGAACTAACCGAAAAATATCAACTAGGAAGTTATAACCACTATCTCTGCTATATATGCCAACACGTAAAAAACCCATGACATGTAACTGCTAAGGTTAACCTATATCAATGAACTAACGAGCTACAGTTGCTGGAAACAAGGTTCCTTCAGGTTCTATCAAACTACAAATGCTGTTTGAGCTGTTAGACTAAGACCAGTGGCCATTACAATGTAACTCACACTATGCTGGGGGCTTGAGGACGAAGTAGTACTGCTGACAAATAACCGCGTGACAATGCTAAGGTGTCCCGTTGGGAAGAACAACTGTAATGACTCTCCGCTCTGGGGATTGGGATTAATAAAGGTAGACCCGAAAATTACAAGTCCTCACTCATACTGTGTCGCTGCGTAACCGGACACAACTCCGAGACCATCTCAAACAAACCGTGCCACTGACCTCAAGCATTTTTCTCTGGGCTCTGAGTATCACCGATACCCTTTCTGTTCTGTTCCAACAAAAAGCATACACCAACAGAGGTGATAACGTTTTCTGGCATTAGAGATGCAATGGGTTTATTAGTCTACCTTAATTAGAGGTAAAACAGTCACTTAAAGCTCCCTGTAGTGAGAATCACTAACATTAACAAGCCTGATAAAGGTAACTTGTGAAAACATAAATGCTATAAGCAAATTTTTCAATGAGCGCCTGGTAAAAGTCAATAATTAACTCACCAAATTTAGAAATCAGGTCAAGTGGAGGAAGTAACAAATTTCCTGGAGGATGGAAAGACCGTGGGATTAGAAGAAGTGGCTGTACTGGCTGAAAAAGACAATGCAAAACTTAAGTCAGAAACTAGTGCACAAGAATTCTTTGCAATGAGATGACAGTTGAAGCCTTGAGGTCCGTCTTGTCTATGGAAACTACCCAGTGAACCGCAGTGACTGTAGATTTCCCCTGGAAGATCTATTGGGCAGTGGTAAGACTAAAGAGAGCCACACGACAGTGCAAGTTCCTAGCACTAAGGCGTGAGTCTGAAAGAATGTAATGTAATGAGAGCATGATATTACCTCAGATTAACAGTAACCCAGCTAGGTAGAAAATGTGTACCAACAACCTAATCAAGAGCACTACATCATACTGACCACAGCGCGCATATGATTTTTAAAATGCATTAAATTTTTTTCAGAAATATCATGCATGAAGAAAATCCTATGACATCTACAGTTTCAAAGGAAGTCCTAGCTCCCACACGCACACGCTTTCAAAAGGGGAGGATACAATAAAATGTAACAATAACTACCTAACTATAGGATCCCATACTTCCAGAAGTATTAGAAAGCTAAACTGCAGATGGGAAAACTGAAATACAAATTAAAATCCTAGTGAGTCAAGCTAGATAATTTGTTCACATACTTGAAATGCAGTTATTTTTATACCAATGCCAGATTACATATAAACCTGATAAATCACATCAAACAAATACGCCTACCTAAATGCGATAGTATTTAAATACTTGATTAATACACTGAGAAGTGAATGTTCGAATTAAACTGCCACAGGTTTATTATTTCATAACACTGAGATAATGTTCCTGATGTAAACTGAAATCACAAGAATATAGTGGGCATCTATTAGGAAAATCTTAGTAGCATATACGTACGAATCCATACCTAATCAAAGATAAAAGATTTTATTTCTCCAAGAGCAGTAAGACCAACCCAGATACTTTACATTTTACAGTATTACTACCTATTAGTGAAACATGGCCACTATCCACAATTAGTTGTGCGTCGGTAGCAGAGGTTATATATATATATATATATATATATATATATATATATATATATATATATAACTAAACACAGGATTGATCATTCTTCTAAAAATTACAAAACTGGGAAAAACTTTCAGCCACAGTCGACTTTACACGACAAGTTTGACAACAAAATACTTGAATATCCAATGACGCCAAACAAAACTACATTGTATTGAAGGCACTTACCTTTGCAGCATTTTTTCTTCCTGAAAATAAGTAGATATTTTTTTTAATGAAACATCAAAAGCAAATACAAAGTGATCAATAACACTTGGGAGCAAACTATAAACAAGGTGAATGGGTAATATCACCATCAACCACCGTGGCTTAGTCTGGTACATTGAAGACCTGTTCTCGATACCTAAGTTCAACCTGAGTATTGAGCAATCCAAGAATTGTAAGAATAGTTCGGTAAGCTAGAAGACTTCCATATGGAACCCAACAATCGCCCCAAACTCGTAATTAGTAAAGCAACTTAATCCCGAAATTATTAACAAGTATTTTTAGATGAGAAACATTGTCTTTATGTGGAGCTGGCGAATACCAACACTAGCAGTTTACCACTTAAATGAAAAGACAACAGCTGCTAGTGACTATGTTGGATTTTAGCAGTAATAAACAGACATTAACAGCAAGATAAAAACGCTGATGTACCTGAACGCTTTGTTTGTGTCCGAACACGAGATTTAGTTGCGCGAACCTTGGGAGATGATTTTTCATCAGATGATTCACTATTACTTTCTGCATTATTAGAATTTAAGACACCTCTAGGTCTTTTCAGACTATTTTTTGTGTCCGGATAAGTTGCATCGTTAGCAGCATACCGTTGATTTGGATTCCATATGGAAGGTGTTGACGATGAGAACGGTTTACTTCCGAAAGAACCTTTAGTGAATGCCGTATTTTGAGAATTTTCTGCTACACTTCCTGGCTTTCCTGAGATGGGATGAATGCTCTGAGACGAAACATCACTCAATATGCTTTGCAAGCAGCCACCACGCCAAACTAGTTGGTTTCCCCCAGTACTTTGTTTCGGAAGTAAGACGACACGCTGGGTGACTTTTTCCCCAGGATTTTCCAACAAGTTATTCCCTGAATCTTCTGGTAACATTTTAATAATTGAGACTGGAGGGTGTGACATGTTTTGGATATATCTAAAAATTATTACGAACATGAAACACGAGCAGTCGTTACATTTCTAAGACCGAAAATGGAGGTGGGACAAGCGAATTAGTGTCGCAACCTTCTAAGTACCACACAATTAAAAATTACCGCAATATTGTCAGCCTAGGTGACAAATAGACTGAAATTTTCCAGAACGTTGGTGGAAATTTTGCTTGATAAATTGTAATGACAAGCTAAAATATATAGGTGGTTTTCATGATTGTTGCAGGAACACTGAAGCTGTTGGCTTAATTTGCATCAAAGTATCACTTTATGTACCATTTCAGTGCATGGTATTATTATGCACATTAATTGTATTCGTCATGAGGACTTGAATAATTTCTAAATTACTTTCTTTACGATAAATGTAATTAGTTTGGAGTTAATCTGCCTTTTACTAGCCTGGACTTCAAGCAATCATGATGGAGAAATAATGCCTTAAAAGTATGGATGTCTCTGGAATTGTCTTGGAATTTGCGTATAATCCTCCAATTCTAGAAAACGTTTTAGGTCTTTTTACGCATATTGCATCAATATAAAGATTATCTGTGGACTACAAATATTTTGCTCAGTATTATTGGAATCAATGTATCCACTTCGTATTTAGTATGTAAAATTATCTTCCATAACTTCGTGTTTTGCTCTTCCCCACATATACTTTATCTTTTTAGGTATCTGGAAGTTGTCGAATATGAAATCAGCGAAAATGTCAATCGGTGAAACTAACACCAACACTCTTTGTCAGAATTTTCTTTGTAAATTAAAGAAATACCAATACTTGAGAATTAAAGAAATGTTTAATATACTCTTAAGCACCACTTCTACTATGTGTCGCTTTACTATTGTAGTATGTAAAGATGGATTAATGCACGTTAAGGAGGATAGAGACTGGCAGTAGTATTTTGAGATTGTCAATTTAGTCATTCGTAGGATTTCACTTCTAGGATTCAGCAAGCTAAATAATAATTCTGTATTGATCGATACCCCCGAGCCTCCCTACTTAGCCAGTTGCACATGTGTATGCTGCTGAAGGCCGAGTGTTTGGTACAAACAAATGTGGTAAGTTAGGGTTAAAAGCTACCTCACTCATATGTTAATATGAAGTGGCATAAACAATATACTGTATGCTCGATAATAGGCTCATAAACAGTTTCCATTTACTTCTAATATGCTATTGAATCATGTGATATTAACTAATGCCCATCGTCGTTATGATCAGTTACTGCAGTGTTTGAATATCTACTTATGGATAATAAATTACTTACGGTTTTATGCATCTTATTAGATATAGCAAACTTTATTGAGTTCAGTTTATCCTGCTTGATTTGTCCTTCTTCCTTTAAACATGATAATAGAGTGTTTTACAAGCCTCATCACTCGGTGTATCAGTCTTAAATGTATACGACATGTGGGCATGGTTTTCACGAGCTAGGTAAGGAACTCAAAGTAAACACTTGTAATGTACATTCCTTACTTATAAGACTACCTAATGGAGCATGTAAGAATTACGATTCGACCAGTTCTAAAAAGAATTTTGAACTGTTGCGCTACAGGTGTTCAGTTTGTGCGTGAATCATATTTCCTTATTATTCTGGAAATTAGCCGCTTTCCTCACATTATCCAGATATCCATACTTAACAAGGGGTGTATTGTGTCCCCTGGAACAACATATTGAATTCATTCGTGGAATCTACAACAGGAATCTTCGGATATCCTCTCTATACACGTCTAACTCAAGATTTTTTCTGCAGCAAGCACTGTAAAGGAAGGTCTGAGTTTTTATTCTTTTATTTTGCAATATATCTGTTTATTGTTGTTGTTTTGATACTTCGATAATACAGCTATCTTATTTTTATATTCGCAAAGCTTTTTTTCCGGAAATTGTGAAAATTCTTGTTTCTGTAACGGTTAAGTCTATCAGAAGTGCAAGTACCGTTAAGAAACTGAGATCTGATACTCGTCAATCATCTAAAGGACTCAGCTCCGTTGACGATTCTACACTTTTGACGCGAGGCACACCCAGAGTTATGGTATCTGATATCATGGAGGAACTGACAGAGAATGCGGCTTGTAGCATTTTTGATTTACTGACACTTCAGGAGTCAATAGCAGACACACAGAGCAAGTTTGACAACATTATGCCCCTTACGCAACTGTTTGACCCATCACAAAACATCTCTCTTGAATCAATTATCAGATCCGAGCATATAATTGACTATTTGGCTGAAGAAACTGCTAAGAGGATTATGTCTTCACATAATGTCTTGGCCCATAATACTCCATACAGAGAGCCTATTACCGAACTTAAAACTTCATGTCTAAAGGCTTGTGATATGTCGTTGAAAGGATGTCAGGTTTTGCGTCTTCGTGAGAAGTCTGCAAACCACTCATGTCCGATACTTTTCAAGTTCAGGTTTGGGAATCTAGGAATTTTCTTAAATCTGGTGGGATATTGGGCTCTTCAACACCCTACACTGACATTAGGGTTGCACCTGATTTAACACCATGCCAAGGGCGATGCTGCTCAGGAAACCTGAATGCTGATAACCCTAATGGGACAACTGTAGACTATGTTTCGGGTTTTGTTCCGCCTACGGATATATCTAATGGCCGCATACATCAGACATTTTCGCAGATACAGACAAATATTAGCCAAGTATTATATAAAGACATGGATGCTGACACTGAATTGATGGACGTAGATGAGTCAACAGATCATAATGTTGAAATATATCGTTTGTACGCTGACATAGACGTCAAGAGTCAGAAAATACCAAAATCCATCCCATTCATGTCCCACCCATCTCCTTATAAGTCAGTTACTCCTTAGCTTGACAATCCATCCACTGTGAAGTACCAGTCCAGCGTAGATCCCAAGTCAGTGAGTTCTCTGGGCGTTATGACAATCGCCCCATTTCTACTAAGAACACTAAAGAGCATCAGGTGTTCAAGCAGCAGAAAACCTACATATCATGTGCTGGCTGCCCTGCTAGCCATCATCAACAAGTTGATCATAAGGAAGGAGAAAAGAGGTAAATAAATTAAATACTGAACCCGGAGCAAGAAAGCCCTTTGATATGATAGAGATGAAAGCACCTCTAAGACATCTTTCTGAAACAGTCAAATGTGATATATCATACATATGAATAAATATACTATATTATTACAGGCTCCTAGAGGCAGGCCCAATTCGCCTCAAGTTTGAAGCCAATTATATCCAACCAATACTTCTAGACAAACGACACAGCGAGGTAATCCGTATTATTTTGCCCATCCACTACGCAAACCCATTATTCTTCAGCCCCCTATGAGTGTTCTGCCAAATGACTGCCATAGAAAATCCCCTGATCTACATTCAGTAAGCCAAATAAACCCAAAGGACACTTTCATACATCCCGTGTATTTGGTAGGTAGCATGTACCTTTGTCTGCGCAAAACTTGCTATGGTCTGATAACTACCCCAACCGGACACCAAAACTTCAATAGTATCCTAGAAACAAACTACCGATTACCCATATCAACTATAACTTTCACAAGAACACTGTCTCAACTAACCGCTTCAAGCAAGATTTTCGCCAGTGTCAGTTAACAGAAACACCTGAGATCATGCAGCTAGAAAAAGGCATATTTCCCAGGAGGCAGCCGATACAATGTCAGCATCAAATGTGGCTACCAGCATCTCAAATTATCGCACCTGCGTCTCCTATTCCATACCTTATCCAAACCACAGCCCGCCCCCGACTAACACCTCAAAAATCTTTCTAAAGTCTTCCCATGATCCGGAGACAATGGTTGGTGAGCCTAGAAACATGTGTACAGAGGATATTTACGGAATATTTTATCAAGATATTATACGCGCGCTGAAACCAGTGTTTATCGGTTATCCTTGTAAATACTAGATCGGTTCTTAACAAACAATTAACACTAAGTACATTGGCTTCTATATGCAGACCGTCATTGATTATGATCAATGGAGCTTGGTGCACAGGTGAAATCTCTAACGACAACCTAAGGATTGATAAGTGCAACCTTTCGCAAGGAGACAAACAGACAGGCAGCGGGGGTGGAACATTAATTTATTGTGAACAATCCATGTGCGCAACCCGGTTCAGTAACCCAATTCTGTCGCACTTCAGTGGCTTGATCTGGGGTGGAAATAAAAGTTGTCAGAAATAAGCCTGTAGGTTCTGTGTATCGACTCCCTTCATTCAGCAGGGAGTATGATGATGTGCCCAGCAACATGTTTAATTTTACGGCGAATCTCCTCTTCGTAAGTTTCCAGACGGTAAGTGTTACGAACTTCCCGGAATAATTTGAGCCCCGAGTCAGACTGATTCATAATGAATCTTCTCTTCAGTTATAAAACTATTGGAGGTGATTTCAACTTGCCCGTAGTATCATGGCCTTCACTCCGAGGACCCCAAAGATATGACAATCTCCCAGCAAATTCGTAAATATACTAGACCTTAATTTATGATGTCCTTGCACCTGAGGAGATTCTTAGATCTAAATTCTCCACAAAGCGATTATATTCTGAGAAGTCTACGAAAGCAATGAATAAAATGCTACACATATAATCAATTGCTACTACGTCTGTTCTCACTAGTGTAAGGCATGGTAAGTTCTGCGGTTTTCTAATGTTCAAACCATGCTTGTCTACTTTCAGGTTGGCTGCGAAGTGGGGCGTTACCCGTTTCTATGTGATGTTGTACCAGTTTTGTTCTTCCCGAGCTTTTTCCATCCCAGTCAAAACAGTCCTCATATTTGTCTAGCATTTTATTAAAGTTGGCAGCCGTTTCCGATGGTAGGGGTTCTATGGTCGTCAGTATTCGCTGTTTCTCAATCTTAGCATCTCCCTGCACGCCAAAAGTGCCGTGCTCTTTGTCGTTCCCTATAGTAAATGGGATGGAACAGTCCTTTAGTATAAGAGTCCTCTGACTACAATCTATCATTCCGGACAGCTTTTCCAAGAGGTCGACTCCCAAGATTACCTGCCATGGCAACCGGGTAGAGATGATGAAATTGTGTTGAAGTGGCAGTGTTCCCAATTTAAGTGGCGGCAGGACCACTCCCTGGGATTGCATGCAATCTCCATTGGCTATCGTAAGCCGCAACTTGTGAGTCCCTATTGTTGGCCTAAACGTCTCTGGAACACATGAGGAATGTATGAAAGAACAAGTTGCTCCTGAGTCAACTAACATAACACACTTTTTTCCACCTATATAACCTACAACTTTCGGGGAGGAGGTGACACCAATTAGGTTTACAGTAGGCACGCAATTCATATCGACATGTGACTCACCTGCATTGTGACCACACCTCCTAGCAAGCTTACCAAGTCGCCTGCAGTAGTAGCAATCGTTTCTTGAAGTGGATTGCGACTGTAGGCGTT